AATATTTTCCAAGACATTTAAATTTTAGATAAACTAGAAAGATTTAAGATTTATACCCAATAACCTTTCCTAATTCTTGTCTTCGCTTTTCACATTTCATTTATCACGTTTCATGTTTATCATTTTGTATTTCATATTTCACCTGAGGCAGGTCAATCAAAGACACACGACACGTAGAACAGAAACCAAAAAGAGTGGAATAAGAAAATTGAAATTAATAGTTTTTTCTACTCCAACAGGCAAACCGAAGGGTCAAAATAAAATTAGGTTCTGTTCAGTTTCCTAGTTATCAATAGACACCGACAATAATGTAGATGACGGACTAATTGTTGTTATCACCATATCTACTATTACTATGAGAAAACAATGGAAACCAAAGAAATGTTTTCATTACTATTACCTTTTTATGACTTTCTTTTCTGTAAGGTTGTTCCATGGGGATTCAGAAAACTCCTAAACTGGATTAAAAACACTTACAATAATCCCGACATATACATAACCGAAAATGGATGTGCTGATCCAGAAATATTTAATGATACCATAAGAATCTCATATCACACGGTGAGTAAATAACTTTAATAAATCAATCAAAAATCTTTTTTTCTGAAAGGGCATTAACTTCTTAACTAATAGATAGAAATTTATTGGCTATAAATAGCTTATTCCTATAATTTTGTTTTTCCTCAACAAATTTTATTAGCTGATAATAAAATGATTTTAATAAATCGTTTTCATTTAGCAATATCTAGAAGCGCTTCTAGAAGCAATTAATTTGGACAATGTCGCTGTCAAAGGATATGCCATTTGGAGTTTAATGGACAACTTTGAGTGGAAATATGGATACAGGTATTATGACAGCATATAAATTGTCTATATTTACATTTTCAATTTTCTTTGACTTCAGTTACAGGTACGGGCTTCATTACGTTAACTTTAGCGACCCTCAACTAGAAAGAACACCAAAAGCCTCTGTCAACTTTTATAAAAATGTCATCATCAATAGAACTGTTTAAAAATTGTTAAATTAATAAAATATGTTTAGCTTAGCATTTAATTTATTAATGTACCATGCAAATCAATAAGTCAAAACTAATTGAGACTACGGGTTTATTGTGATAGATGTTATATTTGGTGGTATAGAAGAAAACAAAAAAAGGTTAGATCTTTTACTTTACTGCATATATGGCTAAACTCCCTATGAGATGAATTACGCATCAATCTACTAAAGATTCCCAAATAATCCTAGTAATTGATTATATAAATTTACGTATTTCTCAACTTTAAATAGTTATAG